GGCGTGACCGAGCCTCTCGGATTTTTTGACCCAGCCGGCTTCAGCAAGGGCAAGGATGAGTCAGGATTCCGCAATCTCAGGGTCGCTGAGCTCAAACACGGCAGAGTGGCGATGATGGCTTCGGTCGGAATGGTCCTGCCGCATTTTTGGAAGGCTCCCGGTTTTCAGGACGTGCCCTCTGGCATTGGAGCCGTCTTCACAGAAGCGGGCGGTGCCGGCTTTGTTGCATTATTCTTGGGGGCGGGCTTGCACGAGCTGGTTCTGTGGAAGGATGACGCCTCCAAAGATGCTGGTGATTTCGGCGATCCCTTCAGATTCAGCGAGTCGATCAATGTGGATCGGAATTACGAGATCAACAACGGTCGCATGGCAATGTTTGCGGTGCTAGGTCAGATCATTGCCGAGCTCGCCACGGGAAAAGACGCAGTGAGTCAATTGATGGGCTAGTTTTCTATGTTAGTCTTGGACAGGTCAAGTCGTGGTTCAACGCTTTCCGCCCTACAGGTGCCACGCATTTTTCGTTCCGGGGGTTTGCGCATCCCCATTTTCAATTCGACAGTCACCTTGTGACGCTGACCTTTCCGCGGTAGCTTGCCGGCGCGCCCGTGTCGTGGCTCCTGTTTAGCACAGCCCTGCCCGCAAGCCATCGCCGATTACAGTGAGGTCTGCTCTCATCGCTCGCCTTTTTTGGGCGCGTGCTCAGTTTTCAGACGTCCGTGCTTGCGCGCCGTCTGGCGCATGACTTGCCGCTGGCAGTTGGTCGGTGGCTCGGCGGGCCCTGCTGGTCCGGTGGACCGTCCAGCGCCGGCCCCGGCCCCAGGCCCAGCACCGGCCCCCGGGGCCGTCTCGCGGCGCGCTGGGCGTTTGCGCCGTTTTGGACGCCCCTCGGGGCCGAAGCAGGGCGAGGGCGTGGAGATCACGCAAAAAGAACGTATGAAATAACAAAGGGGAACTTACGCTTTCTGCCTCCTCGCCTTTTTTCCTCCGATTGGCTCCTCAGGCCTCGAGATCGCCCCCCAGCGGCCCCCGGGAGGCCCCAAGGCGGCCCCAAAATGCTACCGAGAGCCCGCAAGAAACCCTAAGATACCCCAAGAGGCCTCCAAAGCCTTCCAAGAGGACCCCAACATGCGCCCGAAAGGTTCCCACGAGGCCCCCGAGAGCCCCCCAAAGGCCCCCATGAACCCCCAAGAGTCTCCAAGAGGCCTGAGGAGACCCCGAGAGGCCTCACAAGGCCCCCCCACAGCTCCCAGGCGCGCCCAGGAGGACCCCCCAAAGCCCCCAAAGAGCCGCCAAGAGATTCCACGAGGCTCCACAAGGCCCCCGAGAGACCGCTCGGAAGTTTCGGAACGGCCTCTGCATTCCTGCAGGTTCTCACGTCTTCCGGAGCTCTCCATAGGCCGCGACTTGTCGAGGAGTCTTTGGGGGACCTTCAGGCTGGAACGAGCAAGGCAATAAGCAGGCTGGATGGCGGGAGGGAGTAGCGATGACAGAAACAGAGTGGGGGAGAGGTGGGTCGGAGGACACACGTGTGCTTAACCAGCCTCGCGGCAGCGGGTGAGCTCTGGGAGAGCATTTCTTAGGTTCGCCAAGACGGAACATGTAGCATCTTTCCCCCTCCCTCTTTCCCCCTTCCTTCCTCACACTATTCCAACCATCGCCCTTGTTCGCCAGTGCTCGCGAAGAGAACGAGGAGGGATGAGGCGGGATGAGGATGAGCATGTTGACCAAGGTAAACCCAAGAGTCATCAACGATGTTGGAATGAACCGTCCCTCCACGATCCCTCTTCGTAGGCCCCTGAAACGGTTCATTTCCATTGAGGGAACTGCCAGGCTGGATGACAACCGTTTGAAGATCCTGAAGCGTGCCAAAACATTGCTTTCGGGATTTCAACGCCACGTATCAACCTGACTGCTGCGTCTTGACGATCCGGAATCGTGCCAGAACTCCGTTTTCGGGCCTTCAGCACTGCGAGTCAACATAATTGTTGCGCCCGCATAACCTTGAATCCTTACAAAACACCGTTTCTGGTACGTTGATCATGGGAATCCGTGGAACTCTTGCAAAGAGTGTGCGCGGTGCTAAGGCGAGAGCTACATTTTGAAAAGGAACCGCCCTCAATCCGTGAAGCTTTTTGCAATTTGTTTGAACGAATGTGAGCGGCGCTGAGGCGAGAACCACAATTTGAAAACGACCCGCCCTCAATCCGTGAAGCTCTTGCAATTTCTTAGAACGAATGTGCGCGGCGCGAAGGCGAGAGCCACATTTAGAAAGCGGCCCGCCCTCAATCCGTGAAACCCTTGCACTTTTTAACACGAATGTGCGCGGCGCTAAGGCGAGAGCCACATTATGAAAACGACCCGCCCTCAATCCGCGAAACTCTTGCATTTGAGAAAAATGTGCGCGGCGCTAAGGCGAGAACCACATTATGAAAACGACCCGCCCCCAATCCATGAAACTTTGGCACATTTTTAGAATGAATGTGCGCGGCGCTAAGGCGAGAACCACATTTTGTAAACTACCCGCCCTGCATCCGTGAAACTCTTGCAATGCTTAAAACGAATCCGCGCAGCGCTTTGGCGAGAGCCACATTTTGAAAGCGGGCCGCCCTCAATCCGTGAAGCTCTGGCAGTTTTTTTTATAACGAATGTGCGCGGCGCTAAGGCGAGAGCCGCATTTTGAAAACGACCCGTCCTCAATCCGAGAAGCTCTTGCAATTTCTAAAAACGAATGTGCGCGGCGCTAAGGCGAGAGCCACATTTTGTAAACGACCCGCCCTCCATCACATTTTAAGCTTCAGAGTCTTAAGTGTAGGGATCATATGAGGCGGAACGCCTGCCCCGCCCTAAAAACTGGCCTCGGGGTGCGACAGGGGGAAATTATTTATGAGGAGAAGGAATTGAGAATGAGGAAGAGGATGAGGATAAGGATGAGGATGATGAGGTCCAGGATGGTGATGAGGATGAGCATGATGATGGTGATGATGATGATGATGATGATGATGATGATGATTATGATGCTGATGCTAATGATGCTGCTGAAGATGATGATTATGGTGACGATGCTGCTGCTGATGATGCTGCTGCTGATGGCAGTGCTGTTGCTGATGATGCTGTTGCGGATGATAACGGTGATGATGACACTAATGACGATGATGTTGATGGTGATGATGATGACGATGATGATGATGCGGATGATGATGATGGTGATGATGACGATGTTGATGATGCTGATAATGATGCTGATACTGATGGTGATGATGATGATGATGATGGTGATGATAATGATGATGATGATGATGATGATGATGATGATGATGATGATGATGATGATGATGATCGTGCTGTTGCTGCTCATGATGATGAGTATGCTGGTGGCAGCGGTGGTGATGATGAGGACGATGGGGATGGTGATGATGATGGTGATGATGATGATGATGATGACCATGATGACGGGGATGATGCTGATGCTGCTGATGATGATGCTGCTGACGATGATGATGGTGATGATGTTGATGGTGATGATTATTAGGATGATGAAGGTGGTGGTGGTGGTGGTTGTGGTGGTGAGGATGGTGATGCTGATGATGATGGTGATGATGATGGATGACGATGACGATGACGATGATGCTGCTGCTGATGATGATGACCCTGCTGCTGCTGCTGATCATGCTGATTATGATGGTGATGATGCTGATGATGACGATGATGATGATGATGCGGATGCTGATGATGATGATGCTGCTGCTGCTGATGATGTTGATGATGATGATAGTGCTGCTGCTGCTGTTCATGATTCTGATGATGATGTTGATGGTGGTGGTGGTGGAGATGATGAGGACGATGGGGAAACTCATGATGATAATGATGATGATGATGATGATGATGATGATGATGATGATGATAATCATGATGGTGGTGGTGATGGCAGTGGTGATGGTGATGATGATGATAATGATGATGATGATGACGACTATGATGATGATGATGATGATGATGATGATGATGATGATGATGATGATGATGATGATGATGATGCTGATGATGATGATGATGATGATGCTGATGATGACGACGATGATGATGATGATGATGATGATGATGATGAGGAGTCTGACGAAGGCGGTGGTGGTGGTGGTGATGATGATCATGATGCTGCTGCTGCTGCTGATGATGATGATGATGATGATGATGATGATGATGATGATGATGATGATGATGATGATGATGATGCGGAAGAGGAGGAGGTGGAGGAGGAGGAGGAGGATCTGGAGGAGGAGGAGGAGGCGGAGGAGGAGAAGGATGAGGAGGGTACAACGCAGCAGCGACGATGGTTTGTATGCCCACAGTAGAAAGGAGGAGGAAGAGGAGGAGGTGTAGGAGGGGGAGGAGGAGGGAGGAGGAGGAGAGGAGGAGGAGGAGAGGAGGAGGAGGAGGAGGAGGAGGAGGGGAGGAGGAGGAGGAGGAAGGGGGGAGGGGAAGGAGCAGGAGAAGGAGGAGGAGGAGGCGGAGGAGGAGGAGGAGGAGAAGGATGACGAGGGAGAGGAGTGGGTCAGGGCAGAGAGGGGCTCAAGACGAGGCGGGAAGGACGACGCGGACGCGGGGGCACGAGCTGAGTCAGCTGCAGCAGCAACACCGTTAGAACACAGAACCCGCTGCTCAGACGAGGAGAAGGTACCCATACCGCTACACTTCCCTGGTCTTCCCTTTTGGGGCCTCCTGGGAGGTCCTCGTCGCCACCGCTGGATTCGCCTCGAGATCCTTGTCAGAGCGCACCCTCGGCGAGGTCTGGGGAGTAGCGGTATTGGTACCGTTTTGTTTCCCCAGTTGTTCAGGCAGATGCGTCGTCGCCGTCGCCGCTACCACCATCGTCGTCTTCGTCGTCGTCGTCGTCGTCGTCGTCGTCGATGGCATCATCGTCGCCACCGTGGCCGTCGTCGTTTGTGCCGCCGCTGGCGCCGGCGCCGCCGCCAATGTCGCCGGCAGCCGAGCTCGTGGCGCAGGCCGGCGCCAATGCGCCTGCCAACCCCGACGCACCGTGGGACGCCGAGTCCGAGTTCGGCTCTCTTGCGCGGGAGCCTTCCCTCCTCGGGTGGAGGAGGAGGAGGAGGAGGAGGAGGACGAGGAGGAATAGGAGGAAGAGGAGCAAGAGCAGGAGGAAGAGGATGAGGAGGGGGAGGTGCGAGAGGAGAGGGGGTCCAGGAGGACCGAGGGATATTGAGAGGATGATGAGGGTCGCGGAGATCGTCGTCGCCGCCACCCTTGTCGACTTCGAGGGGCGGCCTTGCAGGCCGTCCCGCCGCTGCCGCCGTGCCGTCTGCGTCGTCGCCCTCGTCGTTGCCAATCCAAATACCCCCGAGATCATCCGTTGATGTTGAGAAACCCTTTGATACTTCTGAAAGCCTACTGGTGCCACCGAGAATCGGCAACGCTATTTTCACCGCTGTCGCCGTTGTCGCCATCTTCGTCGTCAGCGTCGCTGTCGCCGCCACCGTCGCCTTTCCTGGCGTCGCCGTCGCCGTCGACGTCGCCGCCGCCGCCGTCGCCGCCGCCGTCGCCGCCCCCGTCGTCGCCCCGCTATTGTCGTTTTCGTCGCCGCCGCCGCCGTCTGTGTCGTCTGCGTTGTTTGTGTCGTTTGTGTCGTCTGTGTCTTCTGTGTCGTCGTCGTCTGTGTCGTCTGTGTCGCCGTCTGTGTCTGTGTCGTCGTTGTCGTCGTCGTCGACGTCGTCGCTGTCGCCGTCGCCGTCGCAGTCGCCGTCGCCGTCGCCAGTGGCGGCGACCCGCCAGGACCTCGAACAGGTGGCGCTGCAGGATTGTGCTCGCGCACCTCCGCCCTGCCCAGCGGTCTTTCGCCGCCGTTCCCGCTGCCGCCGCTGCCGCCGCCGTCGCCGCCGCCGCCGCTGATGCCGTCGCCTCCGCCGTCGCCGCTTGCGCCGCTGCCGACGTCGTCGCGGCCGCTGTTGCCGCCGCTGCCACCGCCGCCGCCGCAGTCGCCGTTGCCGTCGCGGCCGCCGCCGCCGCCGCCGCCGTTGCCAGTCTCGCTTCGACCACAGCCGCGGCGGCGGCGGCGACCGCGAGGGCTCGCGGCGGCGGCCGCGGCGGCGGCGGCCGCTGCGGCGAAGCCCCGTGCGGCCGGCAGGAGCCGCCGTGCCTGCCGCCTCAGCCGCTGCCGCACCCTGGCACGCCGCACCAGTGCGGCACGCTAGCAGGCAGCCGCGGCCTCTGCTCAACGAGGAAAGAAGGACTCCTGACCTTATTAGCATAGCGAAGACGTGGCCTCATTTACGTCCTCGTTTTTACATCAGGGATGATAAGTCTGGGCGGTTTGGTTTGATACGTCTGCAGAAAAGGCCCCTTCATCCCTAGTGTTTCTGGCCCTCCGAACTGAGGTCCCAGGGTTAGGGGTCCCTCCCAGGAACACATGGGCGAAGCAAACTAATCGAGTCGACTGCGCCGACATCGGCGCGCAAGCTGCCCGCGTAAGGTCGCGCGTGCGCGCCGTCGTTTCCAATACAGCGCGCCACGCTGGCGGCCCACGTAAGCCGCGGCGTAGTGTCGCTATGCCGTCTCGCGCCAATATCGGGTGTTGCTAGAAGCGCCCCTGGCCCAGGGTGCCCTCATGCTTTACAGGAGGCCCCTACGGTCTCCAGAGCACCCCTCGCGAGGCCCAGAGGGTTCGAGGCGCTCCATCATGGAGCGAAAAGCTCTACGGCGCCGCCCCTGGCGCCGGAGGCGCGCCAGAGGGGGGGTCCCAGCGCCGACATCCACAGGAAATCCGTGCGGGCTTCCGACATGTTTTTTAGAGTTGATGTGATTATGCACCACACGCGTTCCACTACTTGCAAAGTGCCTACTTGCAGACGTCGGAAACAGCACATAGTTGCCCCGACGGAATGGATCGTATATTCCCCGAGGCGGATCGAGGTCATTGGCGACGAGCTATTCTGCGAGTCGTGGATTGCCTCGACCCTCCCCCTCCTCCGGCATCCTCGCGTCGATACCAAGACGGGGCGGGAGGAGTTCTGCTGTTCTCGGCCTCCAGGGGCCCTCCCTCGGGCCCTGCGGAGTGTCAACGAACGACTCCTGGCCCTGGGGAAGGGCCCAGTCCAGTGGGGAACAGTGCTTCTTGGTAGAACTCTGGGGTGCCACTCTTGGGTGCCAGACCTCTGTGGGGTGCCCCTCTCCCACCTCCTGCCAGGAAGCCAGATGCACGCTATGCGGCTGGCCTGGGCGCTTCCCGTCCTTGCTTCCTCGTCTCCTCTTCTCCATCTTCCCCTGGCCCCCTCGTTTCACATCCGACAGACAGCACAACAGGCCAGTTTGGACTTCTTTCGTGTGCACCGACATGTGGGGCACTCCTGAGCCAGCTTTTGTTGTACACAGGACGGCGTTGTGTTTTTTCCATGCCTCTGTTGATTGATGTACTGGCTGATCAAGCGTCTCGCGTGCCCCGTACTTCGGCGCCCACCTGCGACGCCCTCCGCCGGGCGGCAGCTGCAGGTCTGGTGTATACAATGTCCGATGTTTTCCCTCCAGGTAAAGAAACGAACGCAGCCTTCGAACGCCTTGCGAGAGCCACCCTGTCCTTCTCCTCCAGTCTCGTCCTCCACCTCGTCCTCGTCGTCCTCGTCGTCGTCGTCCTCCTCCTCCTGATCCACGCTCGAGCCATGCGTTGCATTTACCTCTACGTCAGAGTCAGTGTAGTGCATACTTTTGGAAGTAAAATGTGGCCACCTAGCTACAGGAGAGACCCAGGCTCCCATAGCTTTCATGCTCATGCTCATGCGTGCTCCTCCTCTTCGCCCCCAGCCCACCCCTGCGATGCGGAGGCGGCGCTTGCCATGTCGACCCGAGGAACGTGCGTCGCTGACGCAGACTGGGGCAGCTCCCTCGCCAGACTGCGCACACGCGCCAGCCAGTGAGCGGAGGCCTGAAAACGGTCGCCTCGCGCGGCTCCGGCGTCTCCGCCTCGTTCCCTCCCCCCCCCCCGAAGGAGGGAGGAGGAGGAGGAGGACGAGGAGGAGGAGGTGGAGGAGCAGGAGGAGGAGGAGGAGGAGGAGGAGGACCAGTGTAAACCCGAGGCTCCTCAACGATGTTGGAGTGCACCCTCCCTCCAAGCTCCCTCGTCATAGGCCCCTACAAGGATTCACTTCCACTTGAGGGAGGTGCCCCGTTAGGGGACAATCGTGTGAAACTCCTGAGGCGTGCCAAGACACCATTCTGAGGACTTCAACGCCACGAGTCAACCTGACTGTTGCGTCTTGGCGACCCTGCATCGTGCCAGAACGCCATTCTTGTGACTTCAGCACCGCGAATCAATGCAACTGTGGCGCCCTGGCAATCCCGAATCGTTCCAAAACACCAGTAGTAGTAGTAGTAGTAGTAGTAGTAGTAGTAGTAGTAGTAGTAGCAGCAGTAGTAGTAGTAGTAGTAGTAGTAGTAGTAGTAGTAGTAGTAGTAGTAGTAGCAGTAGCAGTAGCAGTAGCAGTAGTAGCAGTAGTAGTAGTAGTAGTAGTAGTAGTAGTAGTAGTAGTAGTAGTAGTAGTAGTAGTAGTAGTAGTAGTAGTAGTAGTAGTAGTAGTAGTAGTAGTAGTAGTGTAGTAGTAGTAGTAGTAGTAGTAGTAGTAGTAGTAGTAGTAAGTAGTAGTAGTAGTTAGTAGTAGTAGTGTAGTAGTAGTAGTAGTAGTAGTCGTAGTAGTAGTAGTAGTAGTAGTAGTAGTAGTAGTAGTAGTAGTCGTAGTAGTCGTAGTAGTAGTAGTAGTAGTAGTAGTAGTAGTAGTAGTAGTAGTAGTAGTAGTAGTAGTAGTAGTAGTAGTAGTAGTAGTAGTAGTGGTAGTGGTAGTGGTTGTGGTAGTAGTAGTAGTAGTAGTAGTAGTAGTAGTAGTAGTAGTAGTAGTAGTAGTAGTAGTAGTAGTAATAGTAGTAGTAGTAGTAGTAGTAGTAGTAGTAGTAGTAGTAGTAGTAGTAGTAGTAGTAGTCGTAGTAGTTCTTGTAGTCGTAGTAGTGGAGGAGGAGGAGGAGGAGTATGAGCAGGAGGAGTAGCAGGGGATCGATCACAGAGTTGATCTGCACAGAAGTGAACTCTCGCCTCTCGACCCTGCGAGAAGCGCGCGCAGGAGGCGCCGCAGACCTGCGGAGAGCATCCTGCGCACCCTCCGCAGGCTCGACGCGGAAGGGCGCTCGGGGGCGAGTCGATCGTGGAGTCGGTATCCCCCTCTCTCGGCGGCGAGCGGGGAGGAGGAGGAGGAGGAGGAGGAGGAGGAGGAGAGGAGGAGGAGGAGGAGGAGGCGCTCCGGGGTGAGTCGATCTTGGAGTCGATATCCCCCCCTCTCTCTCGGCGGCGAGCGGGGAGGTGGGGGAAGCGAGGGGCGGGCCTTCTCGGGCCCCGCCGCACTCTGAGAAGGCCTCCTCCCACTCCTCGCCCCCCCCCCCCCAATCGCCCGCCGCCGACTCTCGAGAGCCGAGCGAGCGCGCCGCTCGCCGCGCGCGCCCGATGGCGCCCGCGGTGGCGGCCGCGGTGGCGTGCGCGGCCAGCGCGGCGGAGGCCGGCGCTGGCGGCGCGCCCCACGAGGAGCGGTCGGCGGTGCTGCTGGACGCCCCGCGGGCGGTGGGGGAGGCCCCCGCCGACGAGGGGCACGAGGACCGAGCATGGTCAGATGAGAAAAAAGGTACCCATACCTCTACCCTTGCATCGTCTTCCCCTTTTTGGGCCTCCTGGGAGGCCCTCGTTGCCACCGCCGGATTCTCGTCGAAGTCCTTGCCAGGACGCACCCCAGGAGAGGTCCGGGGAGTAGCGGTATCGGTACCTTTTAGTTTCGCCAGGTGGGACTCGGTGGCGAGCGAGGGGCGTTGAAGGCTGAATTCTGCGACGCGGAGGCACCGAGGGGCCGCGGTGTCAAAAGCCTGTGCGCACGCCGGCGCTGCACGAAGCTACCTCGGCGGCGAGCGACGTGGGGGAAGTGAGAAGGAGAGGGCCTTCTCGGAAGGCGGCGGGACTTCTAAGAAGGCCTCCGCCCTTTGAGAGGCTTTTGGTGTCTCTGGTGGAAGCGTAGAACACTTTTCAGAAGGCTGGGGGCCTTGCGACCCTTCTGAGAAGGCCCTCCACTTCTCACTTCCCTCCCTCCCTCGCTCGCCGCCGGCGGACGGGGCTAGGACGAGGATAGATCCGTTCCAGAGCGCTCCGGAGCGCTCTCAGAGCCTTCCGGAACGCTCTGAGAAGGCCGCGGCACTGGAGACATTCTCCAGAGCCGCCGGATCTCATAGGTTCTCGGTTTATCGTCACCCGATGTTATCCTCGTCCTGGCTGCGTCTTAGAGGAAGAGGAGCGGCACTCAGTATCGTGCAACCTATCCCAGAGGAGGAGGAGGAGGAGGAGGAGGAGGAGGAGGAGGAGGAGGAGGAGGAGGAGGAGGAGGAGGAGGAGAATGTACCCACACTGCCACCCTTCCCCCTCGGTTTCGCCTTGTTCGGCCTCCTGGGGGGCCGTCGTCGCCGGCGCGGGATGCGCCGCGAAATCCTGGTCAGCTCGCACCCTGGGAGAGGCCCGGGGAAGAGCGGTATCGGCACTTTTTGGTTTCCCTGGATCTCCTCGTCCCCAACGGGCCATGGATGTCCTCATCCCCAACGGGCCGTGGCATCCCGGCCCCGCCGCCCCACCGCCCCCGTCGGGGATGGGCCCCCTCGAAGCCCGACGGGGGCCGCCCAGATCCCCGTCTTGGAGAGGGGGGTGGACCGGCCAGTGGGGCCCGGGCCACGCCAGAGGGGAGGGATCGGTCGGACGATGCTCGGGCGGACGGGCACGAGCTCTCGGAGGCCCGTGCGCTCTCCTTGGACTGGCGCTGGGCTCTCTCTGGCGCGCGCGGGGGGCGGCGCGCAGTCGCCCCGCAAGGGTTGGGGGGGTCGTGCGCCGATCCAAGAGATCCTCGCGGACCTCCGGAAGTGTGCATACCTTGGGGGCGTCCGTTGAGGCATTTGCCCTGGAGGCTTTAGACCCTGGAGGATTCCTTATCTGATGAGGGCGGCGGCGGTGGAGGCTTTAGACCCATGATTGGAGTTCCACGAGCTTCCAGACCCTGGATTCCTTATCCGATGGTTCCTTATCCGATAACCCCACTGTGCGTCAGCCACGCGCAGAGGGGAGAGGGGGAGGGGGGAAGGCTTCTGAGAAGCACCCCTGCCTCTTAGCGTGCGGGGGGGGGCCCTCTCTGTAGGTGTGAGGCCGGCGCCTTTGAGAAGCAGCCTCCCAAGAAGCCTTCCCCTTCCCCCTACCCTCCTGTGCGCGCCCTCGCCGTATGCTGTTTCTCTCCTCCTCCTCCTCCTCCTCCTCCTCCTCCTTCTCCGCCTCCTCCTCCTCCTCCTCCTCCTCCACCCCCTCCTCCCCCTCCTCCTTACCTCCTCGTCCTCCTCCTCCTCCTCCTCCTCGTCCTCCTCGTCCTCCTCCTCCTCCTCCCCCTCCTTACCTCCTCCTCCTCCTCCTCTCTCCTCCTCTTTTCCTCCTCCTCCTTACCTCCTCCTCTCCTCTTTCTCCCCTCCTCCTCCCTCCTCCTCCTCCTCCTCTCTCCTCCTCCTCCTCCGCTTCCTCTCCTCCTCCTCCTCCTCCTCCTCCTCCTCCTCCCCCTCCTCGTCCTCCTCCTCCTCCTCCTCCTCTTTTTCCTCCTCCTCCCCTCCTCCTCCTGCTCGTTTTACTCCTCCTCCTCCTCCTCCTCCTCGTCCCCCTCCTCCTCCTCCTCGTTCTCCTCCTCCTCCTCGTCCTCCTCGTCCTCCTCCCTCTCCTCCTCCTCCTCCTCCTCCTCCTCCTCCTCTTTCCTCCTCTCTCCTCCTCCTCCTCCTCCTCCTCCTCCTCGTCCTCCCTCCTCCTCCTCCTCTTCTCCTCCTTCCTCCTCCTCCTCCTCTCCTCCTCCTCCTCCTCCTCCTCCTCCTCCTCCTCTCCTCCTCCTCCTTCTCCTCGTCCTCCTCCTCCTCCTCCCTCCTCCTCCTCCTCCTCCTCTCCTCCTTCCCCTCCTCCTCCTCCTCCTCCTCCTTTTCCTCCTCCTCCTCCTCCTCTCCTCCTCCTTCTCCTCCCCCTCCGCCTCCTCCTCCTCCTCCCCCTCCTGGTCCTCCTCCTCCCCCTCCTCCTCTTTTCCTCCTCCTTCTCCTCCTCCTTTCCTCGCCCAGTTTCCCAGAGGAGCTGTGGGCCGCCATGGCGACCGTCACCGTGCGGGACTGCGCGCCGGCCGCGGTGCGGCGCGCCGCGGCGCCCGGCTGCCCTGGGGCTGGCGAGTCGGACTCCGATTCCGACTCCGACAGCGTCGGTGGCGGCGGCGTGGAGGGTGTCCGCTCCCAGCCGGCGGGGCGCGCGGGGGGGCGGGGCCGACTGGGGTGGCCTCCTCTCCCCAAGAAGGAGAATCATAATAGTAGTAAGACTAGTAATAATCATCATACAAAGAATAAGGGACATAATAATACAGATAACCATGATAAGAACACTACGGCTAATGATAATGATAATACTGAGAAGGAGGAGGATACTACTAATAATAATGATAGTATAAGAAATAAGCATACGTGTATAAACACATACGGATGCGAAACATATCAAGACACATAGCACTAAGAGTAATACTAAAACACATTACAATAATAGTAAGTGAAGGCATAAGAAGGAATAGTCATCATATAAAGGCACAGGCATAAACTGTTGGAGCTTCGCGCGGATTGCTTGGATCGGCGCTGGGGTCCCCCTGGCTGCGCCTCCGGCGCCGCCCGTGCCGCCATTCTCGGGCCAGGAAGGGGAGTCAGAAGAGGCTAAGCCTGTACGGAGTAAGTCCGTACGGAGTGCTCGGTCTCCGTCTGGCCTCACTACGTTTGGACTTGGCCTCTCCTGATAGGCCATGCGGAGTGCTCGGTCTCCTTCTGGGCTTACTCCGTCTGGACTTAGCCTCTCCTGAGGGGATCTAGCGCCGATCCAAGGGATCCGCGCGGAGCTCCGAATGCTTGCGCTTACGTGTGCAGTTTTTGGAGTTCCTTGCGGGCAGTACTTCTGTCCAGATCCATTGCAGCTTGGAGTTTCGGGTCCTTCCCCAGAAACCCGAGGCGCACTGGATTTGGATAAACATCTGGCCCCTAGAGGCTCGCCTTTTATCCATATCCAGTGCGCCTTGGCCTTGCGGCGCCCCTTCCAAGAAAGTCCAAGACGCACTGGCGCGCCAGCGACGCCGGCGACGTTTCAAGGTTGAATTCTGCGACTTGGAGGCACCGAGAGGCCGCTGTGTCAAAAGCCTGTGCGCACGCCGACGCCGCACGAGCCTACCTCGGCGGCGAGCGAGGGGGGAACGTGAGAAGGAGAGAGGAAGGCCTTCTCAGAAGGCGGCGGGACTCCTCGCGCCTTCTGAGAAGCTTTGTGCCTTCGGGGAAGGCTCAGAGTACACCTTAGGCGATGCTTAAGAAAACCTACGTTTTCGGCCAGAGTCTCGATTATTCTTAACGTTTCAATGTAAATCCTAAGATTTTGATGGGAATGTTGGGTTTTTATTCAAGTTCTGAGACCATGAATTTCTTAACCCATGATTTCTTAAGCATTTCGCAGGGTGTACTTCTCAGAAGGCTGGGGAACTCCTGAGTCTTTTGAGTAGGCCCGCCCCTATCTCACTTCCCCCGCGGGCTCGCCGCCGACTGCCGTACTCATGCAGTTTTTTGCGCTCCCCTGCCCTCGCAGGGCGGGGGGGCCCCTCCGCGAGGGGGGTGGGGGGGCGACCGAGACGGGGCGCCCTCGCGGGGGGGGCTCCGTGCGAGGGCGCGGGGGGAGTGAGCGCGGGAGCCTGGCATCAGGGGAGGGAAAACGTACCCCGACCCCCACAATCGGCGTTTACCAAACAGCACCGGGCGTCTGCTAGACACCCCTGCCCTGGGTGCGTTTACTGAAGGCTTCGCTCGTCGGGGTGCTTACCATGTGGGTGTTTTTTTCCGCCCTCTATTGTCCTTCCCTCGTGATTCCAGCTGTGGAGTTAGGATGTTCCAGCCTACTGTAGCCTTGATCACCATAAGTAATTTTCTTGCGCCAAGAGAGCATCGAAGCTGGAGTTTTTGTTCACGTGTCTGGCCCTGCTAGGCGATATTCGTCCGAGACTTTGCCAGCGTGTGGGGCAGACACGGTTTCGATACCTGTCAGGGTGCTTGAAATTATCTAATGGCCTTCGGCCCATCCCGTCACGTGCGTAGGTTGTGGATCTAAAGCCTATTGGATGCTCGTTGGAATCTCCCAGGGGGCCATCTTTCGCGTCTTGAGCTGATCCTTCGGCGACTTGGAGCCGTCTTGGGCCGCTTTCGGGGCCTCCTGGGGTCCTCGTGGCTCGTCTTGGGGGCCCCCTCGGGCCCGAGCAACATTCACTCGCCACCACTCGGCACAGCCCGGGGACCACGCGGGGAGCCCCGCTCCAGAGACGGGACTCGGTGCACACGGGGGTCAGGCAGAGCGCCGGATCCTGCAGGATCCTGCGGGGCCAGGGTCGCACGGACCCGGGTCTGGGTGCAGGAGCTTGCGGGATTTTATAGGATCCTGCGCATTGGCCCGGGTTTGGGTGCAGGATCTCGCAGGGGTTTGCAGGGTTTTATGTGGCCTGACTCACCCGGGTCTGGATTGACCCGGGTCAGAAGATCCCCGATCAGTGGTGAGGCTCAGAGGATTGGGCAAAGGACCCGAGGACACGCCCACTTCGCGCCCGGCGGCACGGCGGCGGATTGCTGTGATTAGGTCTTGAAGTGCGACGGGAGCAGCATATTTCTAGAGTGCATTAGCATCGATTAGCGTATGGTAGTCGATGAGACAGTGCCGATCTAGCGTCGATTATCGTCGATTCGCGCCGACTTGGCATCGATTGGTGAGCGTCGGCCAGCGTCGATGAGCGCCGATTTCGCAGGAGCCAACAGGATGGTATGGGAGGCTCCCATGAGTTGCCTCCGAAGGGGATCGTCGTCGTTGTCTTTGTCTTTGTCGTCGTCGTCGTCGTCGTCGTCGCCGTCGTCGTCGTCGTCGTCGTCGTCGGCGTCGTCGTCGTCGCCGTCGTCGTCGTCGTCGTCGTCGGGAGGGTTTCCTCGGGAGTCCCGGGGCCTCTCTCAGCGGGCCGCCGCCCCCAGTCCTCGCCCCCTCGGTCCGCGCCGCCAGCACCTCGCTGGGCCTGCGCCGCCGCTGCCGCCGCCGCGGCGGGCCCGGGGCGGCTGGCCGGTGGTCGGAGGAGAGAGCTGGGCACCCGTGCTGCTGCCCTTCGCTCGTGTTCCCCTTTTCGGGCCTCCTGGGAGGCCCCCGTCGCCACCGGGAAGTTGTGGTCAGAACGCACCCGGGGAGGTGTCCGGGGAGCAGCGGGGTGTCGGTGCCCCGAGGTTTCTCCAGACGGGGGGCTGCTTGGGGGGATGCTTCGGGGGCGGCCCAGAGGGGGGTGATGATTAGGAGGGGTGGATTTCATGGCGGGGGCCACATGATATCTCCCCAGATTTCATGGCACCTTTCTTATTTCAATACGTCCCTGGTCCCCCCCTTGGCCGCGCTCATGCCGCCAGACATGATTTGCGCCCTTCCTCTTGGACGCCCTCGAGTGCTCTGTCGGGCGCGGGCAGGCGCCCTGCCGCAGCTTAGCCTGCGGTAGACTCGTGTTGTGCTAGCGCGGCAGCGACCCCGCCGCGAGCGTTCAAGGCTGAACGCCGCCAGTGGCCCAGAACCGGCCCGAATGGAACGATCTAGCGAGCGGAACGCCGCCAACCGTTCAGGGTTGAACGATCCGCGGGGTAGTCACGACACGAACCCACCGTGCCAGAGGCCATCCGTTCCTGGTTGCAGTCCCAGGCCTCTGACGATGCGTTTTTTTTGTTTGTTCCTTCCCGGCGATGTTTCTAGTGTTCGGAGTTTCTCGTAAGTTGTCGGGGGCGGGGATGATGATCGACAGGGTTGTGTGGACATCCTGGCCGGGACCATGATGTGTGCCTGGATTGTATTCAGGAGGGAAAAAAACACACAGACACAATTAATCGTCGATCCCCAGGAAAATATGGGAAGTGGTGGGGAAGACAAAAACCGAGAAAATATGGGAAAATATGGGGGATATGTTTATTTGTGTGTATTTATTTGTGTGTCCCAGGGCCCCTTCAGTTCCGCGCTCCTGCCCGGGGCCATGCTCTGCGAGCCCCTCTCGCGGGCGCCCGCTGTTTGGGCGCTCCCGACAGTTCGGCCGGTGGCCCCCCTCTACCCGGCGCCCCCGGGGGGCCATCAGAGATTGCGCCAGGACGATGCATCGGGGGCGGAAAAGAGGGGGGTGATGACTAGGGGGGGGTGGATATCATGGCGCGGGCCATGATATCTCCGCAGATTTCATGGCGCCTCTTCTTATTTCATTGCGTCCCTGGCCCCCCCGCTGGGCCGCGCACATGCCGCCGGCCATGATTTGCACCCCCCCCTCTTGGACACCCCCCTCTTGGCCGCTCCCGAATACAGTCGGGGCGCTGAAGAAGGAACCCTTTTCGTTCGGGAGGGGCTCGGTGTTCCCTGATTGTTTTACGGGTTGCCTCGGGTGTTCCATGGAGGTTTTCCATGGGAAGTCGAAGTTTAGCTTATGGCAACGAGGGGCCTCGTTCCTGATTTAGGGTTCCTTAGGTCAACGCTCCGACTGTAAGTTGCCCCTTGGGGAGTGGGTCGCAACCTCTTCTAGGGCCGCGCACGGAACCCAGACCTCACGGCGCCATTTTTTTACACAGCGTCGACCCCCAGAGGTTTCGACCCATTCCCAGGGACCAGCCTTTCCTGTCGAGTCGGTGTTTGACGGTCCTGTGGCCCAGTGAGGGCTCCCCAGAGGCGGAACAGTGCTCCACCTCGAGGGGAGAGCATGCTACGCATGGAATGGAATCAGTGACAACATAATGAATTGATTGGCCGTGGTGAAGTGGCTATGATGCCCCTCCCGAGGACTGCGATGATGCGGATCGGGTCCCGAGCCGCGTCGAAATGAGTGCGAAGGCCCATGATTGTGCTTCTTCCCAAAACGAGCCTCTTGATGGCCTCCCTGTGCCTACCCCGTCACGCTCACATGGACTTCGCGTTCCCCTATCATGGTAGGATGGGTGAGCGGTCCACCTTCCCCCGCGCTGCACGTAATGGCGCGAGGTCCACGGGGGTTTGGTCCGCGAGCGGTGCACACGACATGCACGAGCCGCTGCCGCCCCGCCTACTACCACATCCCGACCTGGCGCTGACCACGACCCCCCCCCCAAGCACGGCGGTCCTCAAGCGAGGTGTGTTGCCGCTGCTGCCGCCACCTTTCGGCAACACGCCCCCGGGGAACGTCGTGCTAGGCAGCCCG